AACCCCTAAACCCTAAACCCTAAACCCTAAACCCTAAACCCTAAACCCTAAACCCTCAAGCAAATGATAAATAGAAATTGTACGGCAGTACGACTTGTTACGGCCAAGAGTGGGCCAGAATGAGCCACCAAGATCCGGCAGTACGATTTGATGCGGCCAAGAGTGGCCCAGAAAGAGCCACCAAGACCCGGCAGGACGATTTGTTACGGCCAAGAGTGGGCCAGAAAGAGCCACCAAGACCCGGCAGTACGATTTGTTACGGCCAAGAGTGGGCCAGAAAGAGCCACAAAGACCCGGCAGTACGATTTGTTACGGACAAGAGTGGGACAGAAAGAGCCACCAAGAACCGGCAGTACGATTTGTTACGGACAAGAGTGGGACAGAAAGAGCCACCAAGAACCGGCAGTACGATTTGTTACGGCCAAGAGTGGGCCAGAATGAGCCACCAAGATTCGGCAGTACGATGTGATGCGGCCAAGAGTGGGCCAGAAAGAGCCACCAAGACCCGGCAGTACGATTTGTTACGGCCAAGCGTGGGCCAGAAAGAGCCACCAAGACCCGGCAGTACGATTTGTTACGGCCAAGAATGGGCCAGAAAGAGCCACCAAGACCCGGCAGTACGATTTGTTACGGACAAGAGTGGGACAGAAAGAGCCGCTGAGCGATTTCGCTGAGCGAAAAGAATCTCCAAGCCAGAAAGCAAAACAGAAACCGCACAGATTTCGCTCAAAACCCGCCCAGATTTCGCTCAAAACTTCGGACCTGAACACTATACAATTTCTATAAACCCTAAACCCTAAACCCTAAACCCCTAAACCCTAAACCCTAAACCCTAAACCCTAAACCCTAAACCCTAAACCCTAAACCCTAAACCCTAAACCCTAAACCCTAAACCCGCCCGCCACCCCTCTCCCTTCTGTTGGGGTAGGCGGGCGACGTCGAGCGGCAGCGAGACCATGGCAGGCTCTGCTAGGCTGCAGAGCCTGCAGGGCGCACCCCTGAGGGGTCGCCAAGCTAGAGTCGCCTAGCTAGTCACTGATATATAGTTTATAACCCTAAACCCTAGGATTTTGGCTTCGCGGGTCGGGGGTTGCATCCTTCACCACTTGAGGCGGCTTCCAAATGGACAAAGGGATGCCCCCCCCCAACCCTTCACGAGATGAGGCGGCCGCCAAATGGACAAGGGATGCCCCCCCCCAACCCTTCACGAGATGAGGCGGCCGCCAAATGGACAAGGGAGCCCCCCCCAACCCTTCACGAGATAAGGCACCCGCCAAATGGACAAGGGATACCCCCCCCAACCCTTCACGACTTGAGGCGGCGGTTAAGTGGACAAGGGATCCCCCCTTTTGAGCAAGTTCTCAATTTTGCTTGGACAAGGCTTCGAAGCCAAAGGTCGACAAATCCATGACAGGGCCCTTCGGCCCAGAATTTCCCCCAACGCAAACCTCAAATTTTGTTTGGACAAACCCAAAGATCGGCAAACCAATGATGGGGCCCTTCGGCCCAGAACTTCCCAAAACGCAAGGCCCAAATTTTGCTCCTGCAATGTTTGGCTTTTGAATAGCCGGACGAGGATTGGGGGCCCCCCAACCCTTCACGATTTGGAGCGGGGAGGCCCCCAACACTTCACCAAAGATCTGCAAACAAATGACAAGCCCTTTCGGCCCAGAACTTCCCCCAACGCAAAACTTAAAGTTTGCTTTTAGTACAATGCTTGGCTTTGGCTTGGAGCGGGGGCGGGCCTCCAACACTTCACCAAAGATCGGCAAATCAATGACAGGGTCCTTTGGTCCAGAACTCCCCCCAACGCAAAACCTAAATTTTGCTCTTGGTACAATGTTTGGCTTTGGCTTGGCCGGAAAAGGGTTGCGGGCACCCCACCCCTTCACGACTTGGAGCGGGGGGGCCCCCAACACTTCACCAAAGATCGGCAAATCAATGACAGGGCCCTTCGGCCCAGAACTCCCCCCAACGCACAACCTAAATTTTGCTGTTGGTAGAATGTTGGGCTTTGGCTTGGCCGCGAATAATGAGGATGGCTTGGTCGGGCTGGCTTCGGTTTGGTTCGCAGTGAGTAGTGTTTGGGTGGTCTTGGGGTGGGCATGTCTGCATACTGCTGCGTTCAGCTGACCAATGCTACACCCTAAACCCTAAACCCTAAACCCTAAACCCTAAACCCTAAACCCTAAACTAAAGCTGGTGATGCCTGTCGCGACGTCTAGGAGCCTATGGCATCACCAGCGCACGTGCGCTGAGCACCGGCATCCGTTTCAATAACGGATGCTTACTGCATGCAGCTTGAGCGCGAAGAGTTAGCTTCGTGCTCCGTACCCGCATTCGTTCACTTCGGAGGGTGCATTTACGCTTCCAGCGTGCAAATAAATAATAGTATATTGTATTACCCTAAACCCTAGGGTCGGGATCCTAACCGGCTTGTGAGGTTTTGAAGCTGGACCCAACTGTCCGTACGGACGGCGGCGTGTGTACTCCCTGACAGCTCACAGGCTGGCCCCAGTCTCCTTACGGAGGAGAGGGCATGGTTTAGAGCAGCCACATGAAAAGACAGGAGGGGACCTCGAGATTGGCGCCTAGCCTAGCTTAAAATATACATTTTATGAAAAGAATTTAGTACTCCAAAATCAGCTGCAGTTTTCCAGATTTACGAAAGACAGCCAACTGCCCGTACGGACGGCGCCGTGTACGCACCAAATGCCCGTACGGACGGCCGGTTCGGGCGGCCGCAGCTCGGACAATTCGCAGACTGAACCCCACTGCCCGTACGGACGGCCAGTTTGGCAGCCAGCTGCCCGTGCGGACGGCGCCGCGTGCACTCCAAGAGCAGCTACATGAAAAGAAAGAAAGGGACCTCGACATTGGCGCCTGGCCTAAGCTAAAATACACATTTTATGAAAAGAATTTAGTACTCCAGCATCAGCCACAATTTTCCAAATTTCCGAAAGGCAGCCAGCTGCCCGTACAGACGGCTTCCTTGCCAGCTCTCGCAGGCTGGCCCCATCTGCAGGCTGGACCCACTGCCCGTACGGACGGCCGGTTGGGCGGTGCGTGTGCCTCCCTGTACGCACCAAGTGCCCGTACGGACGGCAGGTTCGGGCGCACTCCCTGTACGCACCAAGTGCCCGTACGAACGGCCGGTTCGGGCAGCCGCATCTCGGATAACCCGCAGACTGGACCCGTCCGTCCGGACGGCCGGTTTGGCAGCCAACTGCCCGTACGGACGGCGGCGCGTGCGAGAGGACCCCACTGCCCGTACGGACGGCCGGTTCGGCCGGCCTTCACTGCCCGTACGGACGGCACTGGACCCCACTGTCCGTACGGACGGCCGGTTTGGCAGCCACCTGCCCGTACGGACGGCGGCGCGTGCAGGAAGACCCCACTGCCCGTACGGACGGCCGGTTCGGACGGCTCCGACTGCCCGTACCAACGGCGCCATTGTACTCCCTGAAGGGTCGCAGGCTGGACCCCACTGCCCGTACGGACGGCGGAACTGCCCGTGCGGACGGCGCCCTGCGCTCCACCAAACATTCAGTACCGCTGTGAACGGCCCCCCGACGAAAGCCTAGAGCAAGACCTTAAACGTTAAGGGAACTGCCCGTACGGACGGCACTGGACCCCACTGTCCGTACGGACGGCCGGTTTGGCAGCCACCTGCCCGTACGGACGGCGGCGCGTGCAGGAAGACCCCACTGCCCGTACGGACGGCCGGTTCGGGCGGCTCCGACTGCCCGTACCAACCGCGCCATTGTACTCCCTGAAGGGTCGCAGGCTGGACCCCACTGCCCGTACGGACGGCCGGAACTGCCCGTGCGGACGGCGCCCTGCGCTCCACCAAACATTCAGTACCGCTGTGAACGGCCCCCCGACGAAAGCCTAGAGCAAGACCTTAAACGTTAAGGGAAAACGTTGTACGTCGTCCAAACCCCATAAGAAAAACCCTAAACCCTAACAGATTCAATGTCTGGGTGGTCTTGGGGTGGGATGTCGCGTCCAGCTGCGGCGCGCCGCCCCGCGACCCTCTGGGTCGAGGCGCGCCGCTTACGATGGGAAACCCTAAACCCTAAACCCTAAACCCTAAACCCTAAACCCTAAACCCTAAACCCTAAACCCTAAACCCTCAAGAGCAGGATAAATAGAAATTGTGTGATTTTCGTTTCGATCTGCAGTTGCAATAGTTTCAAATTTTCGCTAAACGTGTCCAACCAAATCCAGCGGACAAGGCGGGAAGGCTTATCCTCAACCGGTATGGGGTTCCGAGGTGTGGGAGCTCAAGCCGAAGAAGACAGAGGCAAGGACAATCCAGGGTATGGAAGCTTGAGCCTCAACCAATGTGGGTTGCCGAGGTGTGTGGTCTCAGCGACAAGGCTGAGAGGGCTTATCCGGAGAGCTTTTTCTCAAACAAAACAGGAACCTGAAGGTATGCAGTTCAGGAGCTAGCCGACCTTCCCCCTCCCCCTCCCTCCCCCTCCCATGCCCTATTGACGGCCTCCCTTCCAGAGGAGGGGCACGAATTCTCAGGGAAGGTAGTGGCAGAAATCAATGGGGTGTGGGGTCTCCCCCCCGCCCCCCCTCCCCCGCCCTCCCCCCCCCCCTCCTGGGCCGGGAGGGTAGTGGGCAGACACCAAAAGACTAAAATGGGGCGTTGGTTGCCCCTCCCCGCCCCCCTCCCCCACCCTCCCCCCCTCCCTCCCCCTCCCCACCCGGTGCTTCCTCCGGAGGGTGGCACGAGTCTCACGGGGGGTAGTGGGCAGACACCAAAAAACAATCCTCAACTAAAATGGGGTGTGGGGCTGCCCCGCACCCCTCCCACCCTCCCCCCCCTCCCTCCCCCCCCCCACCCGGTGCCCCCTCCGCAAGGTCCCCCCCCTCCCTCCCCCCCTTCCCTCCCCCGCTCCCTTCCCTCCCCCGAACCCCGCACCGCTCCCCACCCTCCTCCCCTCCCAAACCCGCTCACTTAGACCGCAACCAGCGTGGAGTGCCAGGTGCGTATCCTCAAGAAGAAGAAGGCCGGGAGCGGGAACAAAGCCGTGCAGGCTCGCCTGCATGGTGTCCCAGGTACGTGGTCCCAACCCCAAGAAGACCGAAGTGAGCAGCGCTGATTATCCTCAACCAATGTGGGGTCCCAGGTGCGTGGTCTCAGTCGAAGAAGGCGGAGGCGGGGACGAGCCGGAGCACTTATCCTCACCCAATATGGGGTCCCAGGTGCGTGGTCTCAGCCCGAAGAAAGCGACGAGGCCGGAGCGCTTTTCCTCAACCAATATGTTCCAGGCGCGTGCTCGGAGGCGGGAGCGCTTATCCTCAACCAATATGGGGTCCCAGGTGCGTGCTCTCGCGGACCAGGCCGGCGCAATATGGGGTTCCAGGCGCGTGGTCTCCTCCCCCTCCCTCCCCCTCCTATGCCCTATTGACGGCCTCCCTTCCAGAGGTGGCAGGGTGGCACGAATTCTCAGGGAAGGTAGTGGCAGAAATCAATGGGGTGGGGTCTCCCCCCCGCCCCCCCTCCCCCGCCCTCCCCCCCCCCCCTCCTGGGCCGGGAGGGTAGTCGGCAGACACCAAAACACCTCCCCCTCCCCACCCGGTGCCTCCTCCGGAGGGTGGCACGAGTCTCACGGGGGGTAGTGGGCAGACACCAAAAAACAATCCTCAACTAAAATGGCACCCCTCCCACCCTCCCCCCCCTCCCTCCCCCCACCACCCCGTGCGTTTGTTTGTGCTTTGGTTTTTTTTATTTTTTGTGTTTTGTTTTTTTTTTTGTTTTGTTTGCGTTTTTTTTTTTTTGTTTCTGTTTGTTGTTTTTTTGCCCCCCTCCGGAGGGTCCCCCCCCTCCCTCCCCCCCTTCCCTCCCCCGCTCCCTTCCCTCCCCCTCGCTCTGCCCCTCCCACCCCCCTCCCAAACCCGCTCACTTAGACCGCAACCAGCGTGGAGTGCCAGGTGGAACGAAGCTGTGCAGGCTCGCCTGCATGGTGTCCCAGGTACGTGGTCCCAACCCCAAGAAGACCGAAGTGAGGAGGTGAGCGCTGATTATCCTCAACCAATGTGGGGTCCCAGGTGCGTGGTCTCAGTCGAAGAAGGTGGAGGCAGGGACGAGGCCGGAGCACTTATCCTCACCCAATATGGGGTCCCAGGTGCGTGGTCTCAGCCCGAAGAAGGCGACGAGGCCGGAGCGCTTTTCCTCAACCAATATGTTCCAGGCGCGTGCTCGGAGGCGGGAGCGCTTATCCTCAACCAATATCGCTGTCCTCAACCAATGTGGGGTTCCAGGTGCGTGGTCTCAGTCGAAGAAGGCGGAGGCAGGGACGAGGCCGGAGCACTCATCCTCAACCAATATGGGGTCCCAGGTGCGTGGTCTCAGCCCGAAGAAGGCGACGAGGCCGGAGCGCTTTTCCTCAACCAATATGTTCCAGGCGCGTGCTCGGAGGCGGGAGCGCTTATCCTCAACCAATATGGGGTCCCAGGTGCGTGCTCTCGCAGACCAGGCCGGCGCAATATGGGGTTCCAGGCGCGTGGTCTCAGCCCGAAGAAGGCGGAGGCGGGGACGAGGCCGGAGCTGGGGTCCCAGGTGCGTGCTCGGCAGGGACGAGGCCGGAGCGCTTATCCTCAACCAATCTGGGGTCCCAGGTGCGAAAGCGGAGGCGGGGACGAGGCCGGAGCGCTTATCCTCGACCAACGTGGAGTCCCAGGTACGCGATCTCGGCCCGAAGAAGGTGAAGGTGGGGACGAGGGCGGAGCACTTATCCTCCACCGATATGGGGTCCTAGGTGCGCGCCCTACCGCAGCGTGCATCAGTGCCAGGTGCTTGAAGCCAGAAGAAGGCGAGCTTCAAGAGGAGGCGACAACAGGCTCGAAGGACTTACTCTCAGAAGACGTTCTCGGCGCGTGGTCTCAACCTGAAGAAGACGGAGGCGGCGACAAGGCCGGATCGCCTATCCTCAACTGTCATGGGTTCCCAGGTTCGTGGTCTGGAGAGAACAGAAGCCGAGACCAGGCCGGAGTGCCTATCCTCAAGCAATATGGGGTCCCAGGTGCGCGGTCTCAACTTGAAGAGGATGGAGGCGGGTGTCCTCAACCAATATCGGGTCCGAGGTGCGTGGTCTCAACTCGAACAGGACGGAGGCGAGGAGAGGCCGGAGTACCTATGCAAGGACAAGGCCGGGAGGGCCCATCCTCAACCAACATGGGGTTCCGAGGTGCGGAAGTTCAAGATGAAGAAGACACAGGTAGGGACACGGCCGGGGGGGGGGCTCATCCTCAACCAGTATGGGTTTCCGAGGCGTGAAAGCTCAAGCTGAAGAAGACAGGGGCAGGGACAAGGCCGGGAGGGCTCATCCTCAACCAATATGGGGCTCCGAGGTGTGGAAGTTCAAGCTGAAGAAGACAGAGGCAGGGACAAGGCCGGGGGTGAGCCATCCTCAACCAATATGGGTTTCCGAGGCGTGGAAGCTCAAGCTGAAGAAGGGCAAGGACAAGGCCGGGAGGGTTTATCATCAACCAATATGGGTTTCCAAGACGTGGCGTCTCAAGCTGAAGAAGAATATCCTCAACCAATATGGTGTGACAGCGCAGCTCCTACTTTGAGACTTTGAAATACGGCAGACCAGGGCAGGGCAGGGCAGCGCAGGGCAGGCCAGGCGGAGCAGGGGTTCTTGGTGGGGGGGTAGTGGGCAAGCACCACAAAAAAAACGACCCTGATTCTCTAGTCGAAGTGGGTTGTGCACCCCCAACCCACCCTGGGTTCCCCTGACCCCCCCACCCCCGCTGCCCCCCTTCCACCCCCCCTCTCCTGCCCCCACACCCCCTTGGGGCGGGTAGAGGGGAGGCACAAACCCTTTTCTCACCCCCCCTGCCCCCCTTCCACCCCCCCTCTCCTGCCCCCACACCCTTTTGGGGCGGGTAGAGGGGGGTTGAGGCGGCCTCCCCAACCCCCCACCCCCCACCCCCCTCCCCCCCAGCCCCTCCCCCCACCCCCCAACCTCCTACCTGCTGGCAAAACGCCTCAAAACCTTATCCTTAAGCAAGAAGAGGTGGGTTCCCCCAACCCCGCCCCACTCCCGCCCCCCTCCACCCACCCCCCACCCTCCTACCCGCCACCCCCCTACCTTCCCCCTTCAACCTGTCAGGCGCTCATCCTCAAGCAGAATGCGGGCAAGCCACGAAAGAGCCGCCACGTTTATCCTCAACCAGAAGAGGGCCAGGGGGTACAGCCGCCACGCTTATCCGGTGCCAGGCGAAGAGGTGCAGCCGCCACGCTTATCCTCAACCAGAATGGGGGCCAGGGGAAAGAGGCGCAGCCGCCACGCTTATCCTCAACCAGAATAGGGGCCAGGGGGTACAGCCGCCACGCTTATCCGGTGCCAGGCGAAGAGGTGCAGCCGCAACGCTTATCCTCAACCAGAATGGGGGCCAGGGGGAAGAGGCGCAGCCGCCACGCTTATCCTCAACCAGCATAGGGGGCCAGGTGTTAGGCGAAGAGGTGCAGCCGCCACGCTTATCCTCAACTAGAATGGGGGCCAGGGGGAAGAGGTGCAGCCGCCACGCTTATCCTCAATCAGAATAGGGGTCAGGGGGTACAGCGGCCACTTATCCAGTGCCAGGCGAAGAGGTGCAGCCGCCACGCTTATCCTCAACCAGAATGGGGGCCAGGGAAAAGGCGCAGCCGCCACGCTTATCCTCAACCAGAATAGGGGTCAGGGGGTACAGCCGCCACGCTTATCCGGTGCCAGGCGAAGAGATGCAGCCGCCACGCCTATCCTCAACCAGAATGGGGGCCAGGGGGAAGAGGCGCAGCCGCCGCGCTTATCCTCAACCAGAATAGGGGCCAGGGCGAAGAGGCGCAGCCGCCACGCTTATCCTCAACCAGAATAGGGGCCAGGGGGTACAGCCGCCACACTTATCCGGTGCCAGGCGAAGAGGTGCAGCCGCCACGCTTATCCTCAACCAGAATGACGCTTATCCGGTGCCAGGCGAAGAGGTGCAGCCGCCACGCTTATCCTCAACCAGAATGGGGGCCAGGGGGAAGAAGCGCAGCCGCCACGCTTACCCTCAACCAGAATAGGGGCCAGGGGGGTACAGCCGCCACGCTTATCCGGTGCCAGGCGAAGAGGTGCAGCCGCCACGCTTATCCTCAACCAGAAGCGCTTATCCGGTGCAAGGCGAAGAGGTGCAGCCGCCACGCCTTATCCTCAAACCAGAATGGGGGGCCAGGGGCAAAAAGGCGCCGCCGCCCACGCTTATCCTAACCAGAATAGGGCCAGGGGTACAGCCGCCACGCTTATCCGGTGCCAGGCGAAGAGGTGCAGCCGCCACGCTTATCCTTAACCAGAATGAGGCGCAGCCGCCACGCTTATCCTCAACCAGAATAGGGGCCAGGGGGTACAGCCGCCACGCTTATCCGGTGCCAGGCGAAGAGGTGCAGCCGACCAGATAGAGGCGCAGCCGCCACGCTTATCCTCAACCAGAATAGGGGCCAGGGGGTACAGCCGCCACGCTTATCCGGTGCCAGGCGAAGAGGTGCAGCCGCCACGTTTATCCTCAACCAGAATGGGGGCCAGGGGGAAGAGGCGCAGCCGCCACGCTTATCCTCGACCAGAATAGCAGCCGCCACGCTTATCCGGTGCCAGGCGAAGAGGTGCAGCCGCCACGCTTATCCTCAACCAGAATGGGGGCCAGGGGGAAGAGGCGCAGCCGCCACACTTATCCTCAACCGGAATAGGGGCCAGGGGGAACAGCCGCCACGCAGATCCGGTGCCAGGCGAAGAGGTGCAGCCGCCACTGGGGGCCAGGGGGAAGAGGCGCAGCCGCCACGCTTATCCTCAACCAGAATAGGGGCCAGGGGGTACAGCCGCCACGCTTATCCGGTGCCAGGTGAAGTGGTGCAGCCGCCACGCTTATCCTCAACCAGAATGGGGGCCAGGGGGAAGAGGCGCAGCCGCCACGCTTATCCTCAACCAGAATGGGGGCCAGGGAGAAGAGGCGCAGCCGCCACGCTTATCCTCAACCAGAATAGGGGCCAGGGGGTACAGCCGCCACGCTTATCCGGTGCCAGGCGAAGAGGTGCAGCCGCCACGCTTATCCTCAACCAGAATGGGGGCCAGGGGAAAGAGGCGCAGCCGCCACGCTTATCCTCAACCAGAATGCATGGGGGCCAGGGGCTACAGCCGCCACGCTTATCCGGTGCCAGGCGAAGAGGTGCAGCCGCCACGCTTATCCTCACCCAGAATGGGGGCCAGGGGGACGAGGCGCAGCCGCCACGCTTATCCTCAACCAGAATAGGGGCCAGGGGGTACAGCCGCCACGCTTATCCGGTGCCAGGCGAAGAGGTGCAGCCGCCACGCTTATCCTCAACAAGAATGACGCTTATCCGGTGCCAGGCGAAGAGGTGCAGCCGCCACGCTTATCCTCAACCAGAATGGGGGCCAGGGGGAAGAGGCGCAGCCGCCACGCTTATCCTCAACCAGAATAGGGGCCCAGGGGGTACAGCCGCCACGCTTATTCGGTGCCAGGCGAAGAGGTGCAGCCGCCACGCTTATCCTCAACCAGAAAGGGGGCCAGGGGGAAGAGGCGCAGCCGCCACGCTTATCCTCAACCAGAATAGGGGCCAGGGGGTACA